CAGAGCGTCCGCGACGAGCGCGCCGAGCATGGCGCCGCGCATCTTCGACTCCTTGGTCGGCGGGTCGGCGGCAGCGGCGGCGCGCGCTGCGACGGCGAGGAGCAGAAAGCGATGCATGGTTGCCGAGTGGTGGCGATGCAGCAGCGGCGTGCAGCAGCGCGCGACGAGAGTGGCAACGATGCGAGCGTTGCAATTTTGCGGTGTCGTGCGGCGCTCGATCAGAGTCAGCGGAGCAATCGGTGAAGCGCGGCCACCACAGAGGCGAGGCAACGTTTTGGATGCATTCTTCAATGAAGGCTTCATTGAACGCACATTTTCTCGCCTCGATGCAGCCCATGAAATACGACTCGCCGATGGCCTCGATGCAGCCCATGAAATACGACTCGCCGATGGCCTCCATGCAGCCCATGAAATACGAGGGCCCGGAGCACTACGTGCAATCCCAGGGCCCGTTCCCGCCGCTCAAGGCCGTGCGCGAGGGCCTGAACCTCCGATGGTACCGCTGCCCGAGGCGCGCAAGTAAGGAGTTACACTTAACCTCCCTTCTCGAGGAGGACGCTCCCCCCCCCGACCGTCGAGTTCGGCCGTCGCCGGACGGTGTACTTGATTCGGTAATTCAGCCCCAGGTAAATCGACGTGTCCCAGAACCCTCCTTGTTGTGGCTGGAACATCTGATTGGCGTCAAGCAAAGTCTTGAGAGAATTCCAATTTTGACTTGTATTTGCTGCGAAAACCGGACGCTCGAGCTTGCGCGCGAGCACCTTGGCCGAGGAGCCGAAGACTGCCTTGATTGCGGCATCGAAGACCTTGTAGAAGCTGTGGCGTTCGAATTTGCGCATATCAACCAGCGTGCTGCCGAGGTGCCGCAGTACCTTGAGCTCCGTGACCTTGATCGGGTCGAGGAAGTCGCCCGTTTTCGGGCAGCGCAGCTCCACGATAACCTCCATGACCTTGCCCTGGTCGATGGCGCGCAACAGGTCCATGTGGCCCTGGTTGAAGGCCTTGTTGACGGAGCGGTACGTCTCGACGATCGACGACGAGAAGAGCGAGAATTTGTCGACCAGGTTCGCGGCGAGCTCCTTCTCCGCGGGCGTCACCGCGCGCTCCACGACCCAGTCGATGATGTTCGCGAGGCCCTCGCCGCCGTGCACGCAGGCGACCTGGCACAGGCAGGACGGCGGGATCTTGCCCGCGATGAGCGCGTACGTGCAAGCCAGCGAAGCGAGGCGCGCGCCGTTCCATTTGGCGATGGAGGACGTCCCGTCGATCTGGCCCTCGGCCGCGCGGATGACGGGGCCGTCCTCGAGCGCGCCGCCGCCGTGCTGCTTCCGCCGCACTGCGTCGCCGCGCGCGAGCGCGGCGACGAAGAGAGCGCACACGTGCTTGAACTTCTTCCCGTCGTGGTCCAGCTTCGTGTTGCGCTCGGTCGCGAACTTCATGTTCTTCGTGATCTGGCGAATGGCCTCGAAGTAGTCGACGCCCTTGACGTAGCACTTCTCGAAGAAGATCATGCCGAAGCTCAACACGCGAGCGTTGGCCTTCTCCTTCGTGACGAGGATGGTAGTCTCAAGGGAGGCCTCGGTCGCGATTGCTATCCAGATTTCGGCACCCATTTCCGTCAGGGGGTGTTCAAGCACGGTCGTCAAGTCCTGGTAAATCGAGGGCTTGTTGTAGAAGGCGTCGATGCGCTTGACTGCGTTCACCGTGCCGTCGCCGTAGTCCTGCAACCGCGGTTGTTTGGCATCAGCAGAGTGGATGTTGGGCAGCCGCAGCGCCGGCCGACGAGACGAGACGCTGTTACCGCCTTTTGAAGGAGGACGGTGGTCCTCTGACAGACGCTCAATTGGGATGCGCTTGCGCTTGCCCAGGACCGTGGGCGCGGCGTCCATGATCGGCAACGTGGCGCGGCGTGGGCGTCGAGGAGGCACGGGCGTCGAGATGAGCAACGAGGCGAAGCGCGGCGCGGGCGTCGAGGAGGCGCGGGCGTCGAGGTGAGCGTGGAAGGTCGCGACGGCGGAGAACTTGAGCCTCTTGCTCGAGGTTGATTCGCTACTCGTCGAAGCTCAAACCGGCCCGGGGTGCTGAGATAAAGTAGCTACTTCGCCGGGGCAAAAAAAGACGCGTCTGTCAGCGGTGCCTGCGCGAGACCCACCTCCTAACATTGAGTCTTTGCGCTCTTGATGGGTCCGGCGTCCTCCTTTACTACTCTCCTGTGTTTTATGTGATGAATGCATGGCTGCGCGTGTACGCCTAGGAAGCGTGCCCTTAGTTTTCAGCCCGCCAGCGCTGCCCGGGCGCCGCGTGAACCTCCGCGCCTTCATACGACGGACGTAGCGCGGCGGGCGCCCCCGACCGACGGACCGACCTCTATTACCCCTCGACGTCCGGGTAGCTGCCGAGGACGAGCATGGCGTCGTCGGAGATCTCGTCGCGGACGACGTCGACGATCGCGCCGATCTTCTCGGGCGTGAGGTCGCCCTCCTCGTGCCAGTTGCGCGAGTGGAGCACGACGTAGCGGAGCCCTCA